TATATATATTGTGTGTGTGTGTGTGTGAATTCCATCAAGCCATTTATAAGTAATCATCTCATTGAATTTGTGATAATGAGACAACCTGTTGTAATGAGAACACCTCCACCTTCCAGTAGCAGTCAGGACAGGCATATGCTAAGGTAGTTTCCTATGCAATGAAAGATAATCCAGAGGACTCTTTAAGTCTGGGGGTGAGTTTAAGATCTGTGCTATGTGAATTTTTATAATATGCCATTTTCCTGCTCTGGATGTTTCTTTTTGGCATCAGGGATATAGACTGTGAGAGACAGAGAAGGATGAGTCATGGCATCAAGGAGGCTTTGGATTCAAATGTCTGAGGAACACTCTTTGAGAATCTTAATGATTTTCCCGGGGACATGTTTATTAAAAAAGAAGGATCATTTAGTCTTTTTTAACCATCTCCCCATTTTTTGCTGAATTAATGTCTATAAGTTTTCATGTAACATTTGCATACTCTTTTATTTTGTAAGGATAAACACCATTGCTATACTAGAATCAACACTGTCATATTGACAGGTGCATAGTGTGAGGTCGACAAATCTCTATTTTATCTTGTTCATGAAATTGTAACAATGAGTTATAAATTAAAATTTTCTGTGGGAATTATATGAAGGCTGCATTAAGGTGCATAGCATGGTACTTGACACACTGGAGAGTCTCAAAAGGTTTTCTCTTTCAGTCCTTCTCCTTTTCTCCCTCGTCTGCTTCCTTTTCCTCTCTTTTCTTCTTCTTTGATAATCTCAGTCAGTTATTATATAGAAAATTATAATTGAATTTCAACTAATGTCTTAGTAAAAAATGAGCTAAGTTTACTTTTCTCCAAGGGTCATCTGGGCCTGCTCAGCCATTTTATATAATCTAGTTTCTATCAAGCAACTCAACAAAGATGGAAATACCCATGTAGGTGATTGAGCATATATTAGTGGAAATGGAGAGAACAAATTTAAACAAAAATCTTTAAGAAATAAAAATGTTGTTTAGTTATTATGTTAATCATTCTAATCTTGTTCCTAAGGCTCTGCCATGATGGAGGCAAAAGCTTTCCAGTTGAAGACATTTTGGAGTGTATGACATATGTAGACTTTGCTTTGGTTAACTACCTTCCTGACCTCTTCCCAAAAGAGAGTATGGTGGTTTTAGGAGACTTATGTGGCCTTGGGACGGTGGGGGAAGAGGGACAATGTGTTTTCTCTTAGTTATTTCAGGTCCTCTCCATCAGGAGGCTAGTCTGAACTGGTTCATAAGACTCTTGGGTTGGTGTCTCCTGAGAAAAGGCAGTTCTCATCTCATTGCTTGGTCCCCCTTCCCTTGACCCTGTGGTAAAGTCCAAGGTCGGTGTCACTGATTCTTGGTTGCCACTTGAGTTTTTCCTCTGATCTTTAGAGCTTTTCAGGTTCACTGGCTCTCTGGGCACCTGTCTTTTCACCATCTAGCAGACAATGTGAGATTTTCCTGGTACTCAGCTTCCTAAGTGCAGGAGACAGGGAAGTTCATGCTTTCTGTAAGCACATTTCTCTGCCAGTGCTTTGTTCCACATGGGGTGTGTCATCTATGTGGGCATATTAGTTTTCTATTTGCTTCCAAGTTACTGCAAAATTAGTAGCTTGAGTCTGGGGTTGTGGCTCAGTGGTAGAGCGCTTGCCTAGCATGTGTGAGGCTCTGGGTTCGATTCTCAGCACCACATAAAAAAATGAAGGTATTGACAACTACAACTAAAAAATAAATATTAAAAACAGTTAGTAGCTTAAACCAACACAAATATATTATCTTACGTGTTTCTAGGCCAGAAGTCCAAGAAGGTGTGGACAAGGCTGTGTTCCTTTGTGGAGGCTGTTGTCTTGTGCAGTTTCTAGGGGCCATCTGTATTCCCTCATTTGGGTCCTGTTCTTCCATCTTCAAAGCCAGCAGCACAGCATGGTTTTGACCTTGTTTCTGTGATTCTATCTGCTTCTCTGATACAGCCAATAAAGGTCTCTCTCTATTCACAAGGGTTCATGAGATTAGTTTGGACTGGCCCAGAGAATCCAGAAAAATCTCCCCTGCTCAAGAACCTGAATCTTAGTCACATTTTTAAAGTGGCCTAGTCATGGATTTCACACATTCACACACTCTGGAGTTTAGGGTTATGGGTTCTATCATAGCTGGAAGTTTTGAAACTCTTCAGGCAATTCTTTTGGGAGGCAAATGAGTAGGTCCAATACTTTTGGGTTCTCCCATATATGTAAGGATGTTTTTCTCTTATTGGTCTGTGAGAAGTGGAAGAAAAGTCACTAGTATTGACCTCTCACTGGATATGTTTGTTTCCTGCTTGGAACTTCTTTCTCTCCCATCTTAAAACCCTCTCCCTTGCAACCTAACTGGGTAAGATTCTCTGAGTTCCCTGCATTCATGATTTATAGTCATCCTCCAAGTGCAACTAAGCTAGATGTAATTCTCTACTCATGGCTTAGAGGTAACCTTACGAGTTCAGCACAGTCAGTTCTTTATAAGTAAATGGAGCTCTTTGAAATTTTATAATCTTAATTGTATCTCAAGATAACCCAGTTTTCAGGATTGTTGTGTGTCTTTGTCTTGAGAAAGCATTATTGGGTAGCTAAATCTGAACAGTGACTTTTCATACTGATATCCTGCATTTTGATCCTGAGGTGTTAAGCTTTAGGCTTATTCTTCATGGGAAGTGTGTGTGTTGTGTGTGTGTGTGTGTGTGTGTGTGTGTGTGTATGTGTGTGTGTAAGAAACAAATACAGCAGCTGAATGTTTTCAAACAGATTTTTCCCTTCTTCCTCCCACATTGCTGTGTTTCATAAGTCTGTGTGCTGACCCTGATGTGTATGGACTCTGCAAATCCCTGACATGAGATGTGTGTTCTTTCGTAGATTGGCGGAAGGAACGGTTCCAAGCCTGTGAGTGACTGTGTGCTTCTAGATGTTCCTCCTGTTGCCCTCATGGCTTCTGGCTTCTCCTTAAGTTCTTTGTGGTGATTCAGATGCTGGCATCACCCATGGTGTTGCTGTGGCAGAAGTGATGGTCACAACACTGGTACTGGTTTTCAAGGGACCTGTCAGAATTCTACACTCGAAATTAGCCTCTGGCTTCTTTCTCCTGGTTGAGGATGTGGGCTTGAGTTAGAAGACTCATATCTCAGGAGGCTTATCCCCTCCTCAGCTCAGGCAGCTATATGACTGTGAGGTGGTGGGTGGCTCTGTGCTTTGTTTTGGGGTGGGAAAGGACCTTGAATGACTGAAAATTCTCTCAACAGGGCCTGTCACACTGGATCCAGACTCTGCTCACCACAGGCTTTCTGTTTGTCATGAAAAGATGCATCTGACCTTGAAGGACCCCTGTGTGTACCATGATGAAAAATGCAGTGTGTTGGGTCTTGAGGGCATCACATCAGGAAGATGGTACTGGGAAGTGGAGATAGAGAATAAATTACACAGCAAGTGGACTCTGGGAGTCTGTAGGAAAGATGTGACGAGAAAATACAACTACCTCGAATCATCACAAAGGGGATTTTGGGTCATGGGGAAAGTTAACAAGAGTTATTTTGCCCTAACTCATCCTGAGACTTGGTTATCTTCTATGCAGAATCTTTTCAGGGTAGGGGTTTTCCTGGACTACAGTGAAGAGGAGGTCTCCTTCTATAACATGATTGATGGGTCCCACATTTTCTCTTTCCCTCCAGCCTCCTTCTCTGGAGCTCTGTTTCCATACTTCATGTTTATGTATGGAGCTGTGTCCATGACCATCTGCTCCATGGAAAGTGGGTCTGAGGGGCTCCCTGTACCCCTTAACAATTTTTCTCCTCCGGAGGGAACCCTGAGCACCCCAATGGAGGGGTTCAGCTCAGGTTGTGGTGTTGATGGAGCTCCCCCAGAGGCTGAATCTCTGTTACTTCCCTGACACTCCCAGGTTTTGTCCACGTAGGGTCCCTTGCTGTCTGTGATCCCTCACTGTGGCTCTTCTGGGGCTATAGACTCCCTGTGTCAAAAGCCTGTGATATGAGACTTGGACTGTACAGTGAGCTTGTCTTCTGCTCTGTGTTAAGACTTCAGATGTGTGGTTATGAGAGTTCAGTTCATATCTTATATTCAGATAGCAGAAGATAAAATTTGGCTCTATTTTAACTGGTTCAGAGAATGTTCAATTTAACTGAGGAGCCCTATTTTTTGGTATTAGTAAGTATTTCAAGCAGCCATAGCAGCACATACCTATAGTCCCATCTACTGGGAAGGCTAAGGCACGTGGATCAATTTATCCCACATGTTTGAGACCAGCCTGGCCAACATAATGATACTCTGTTTCCAGAAACAAAACAAAGCAAAATAAAAATACAAACAAAGGAGAGATTACATTACTGCACCTGCATATGTGTAGAGGAAACTTGAGGTTGAGCGTGGTCCTCAGTTTTATTTATTTTTTTAAAATTTTTATTGTTGGTGCATATTTGGACTATCAGATGACAGTTTAGTATCCAAAAATTTCCAGTGAAATGGAGAGGTGTGTTATTCATTTTTTTTTGTCTCTGTGACAAAATACAGAGAAAATCAACCTAAAGGAGGAGAGATTTATTTTCCTCACAGTTTTAGAGGTTTCAGCCCATAGTCACCTGGCTGCATTGTTTCTGAGGTAGAATGTATGGGAGCAGGTGGTGGAGTGAGTGGTTCACCTTATGGCAGACAGAAGGCAAGAGAGGGAGAGAGAGAGAAAGTGAGGGGGAGAGAGGGGAGGGAAGGAGAAGGAGAGGAGAAAGAATGAGAGAGAGGAAAGAGAGAGAGAGAGAGAGAGAGA